CGGCGCGTCCGCGCGACTTCCGCGCGCGCGCGCGCGACGGGTTTCGCGGCGGAGCGCGCGCCGGAGGCCGGCCCGGCCCACCGCCGCCGCGCGCAGGTTCTGCTTCACCGACGGCGAGCGCAACAGCGGCAAGGAGTCGGAGAACCTGCTCGTCTTCTCCTTCTCGCGGTCCGCGCGCGACCACGCGGCGGACATCATCGAGGACCGCATCCGCGAGCACAAGCGCATGGGCGGCCGCGGCGGCGGCGGCGGCGGCGGCTACCGCGACGACCGCGGCGGCGGCGGCCGCGGCTACCGCGACGACCGCCGCGACGACCGCCGCGACTACGACCGCCGCGACCGCGACCGCCGCGACCGCAGCCGCTCCCGCGACCGCCGCGACCGCCGCTCCCGCTCCCGCGACCGCCACGACCGCCGCCGCCGCGACGACTCCGAGGACTCGTACCGCCGCCGCCGCTAGGCGCCCCGCGCGACGCGCGCGCCGCACCAAGCCCGCGGCGCGCGCGCGCGGGCGCCCGAGCCGGGCCGACCAAGCGGCCCCGCGGACGCGCCCCGACGCCCCGCGCGCGTCCCCTCCAAGGCCCGGGGACGCGCGCCGAACCCCGCGCGCGGTAAACCGCGACGCGACCCCCATCGGTCGACCGACACGGGCTCCGCGTCGATTACGAGCGCGGCGGCTCACTTGCCCCCCCCCGGCGGCGCCTTCGTGGCGTCCGCGTCGCGGGCGATCTCGAGGACGAGGGGGTGCGCGTCCACGGGCGGCGGGAGCAGCCGGTCGGCGACGTTGGCGCAGACGCCCATGTCGAAGGGGTTCGTCGGCCGGCCCTCGGCGTCGCGGAAGTGGTCGTAGCGGCCGAAGTTCACGTGCTCGTTCGTCGTCAGGTTCTTCGAGAGGAGCCGCGTGTGGTACGCGACCATGGCCAATCCAAAGCAGATGAAGAGGGCGAACCAGGCCATGGCCGCGATGAGGCCGTAGTGGCGGCCGCGGGCCCGGAGGTAGGCGACGGCGAGCAACTCCCACTGGAGCGCCGCGGCCGTGAAAAAGGCGCAGTACGCGTAGAAGTAGCGGTAGTTGGAGAGGCCGACGGTGTTGCCGACGTAGGGGCAGTAGTGGTCGAAGGCCATGACGCACGTGCGCGCGGCGCGGCAGTGCTTCGACCGCTTCGGCCGGACGACGTGGCAGCTGTGGCAGAGCGACGCGGTCTCGCCCGTCTCCGTGCCGTCGACGAGGCGCTCGAAGTAGGCGTCGTAGGCGCGCCGCAGCGCGCCGCGGCACGTCGCCCCGTCGATGGTCCCCGGGTCGCCGCGCCAGCAGAGCACGAACGCGGCCCACGCGAGGAGCTGCGTGTTGAACGCGACCGCGTGCGCCCACGGCGGCGCGCCCGCGGCGGCGCCGGCGGCGGCGCCGGCGCCGCCCGCGGCCGCGACGTCGAGGGGCGGCGGCGCCGACGCGTAGGCGCCGAGGAAGAGCTTCACGTAGAGCGCCTGGGCCAGGACCTTGTTGAAGACCATGGCGAACCAGGGCCAGCGCATCGTCTCCGGCGCCGAGCCGCCGAGGAAGAACGCGAGGCACGCGCCGGGCGCGAGCTTCGACTTCGCAAAGGCGACGAGGCCCTGCTCGAAGGCCGGCCGCCGGTCCTCGAGGAATCGGAGCACGTGGCCGTGGCGCTTGTCGCGCGCGAGATCCGCGGGCGTCTTGCCGTTGCGGTCCTCGGGCGCGAGCCGCGGCGGCGCCTCGCACTCCGCGTCGACGAGCAAATACTCGCAGACCGCGAGGTTGCCCCGGAGCGCCGCGAGGTGCAGCGGCGTCTGGCCGTACGCGTCCGCGTCGTCGAGCGGGAGGCCGAGGTGGTGCAGCAGGCCGACCTGGGCAGGAAAGGAGTGATTCAACGTCGCTTCAACGTGAGCGTTCTCCGCGCGCGCGTTCCGGAAAACGCATCCGCGCTTCGAGACCATTCCGAGGGATGATCGCTCGTCCAAAAATCAGCCGAAACGAGTGAAAAACGGCCGAGAGACGAGCCTTTGGAGTTGGGAATTTCCCGCCCCGAGGCCGACGATCTCGAGGTTGCCCTTGTAGGACGCCCAGTGGAGCGCCGAGTCGTCGTGGCGGTCGAAGATGCGCACGTCCGCGCCGACCTTGACGAGGTACGCCGCCGCGTCGGCCTGGCCCCACTGCGCGGCGACGATGAGCGCGGTGCAGCCCTGGCGGTCGCGCGCGTCGACGTCCGCGCCGCGGTCGACGAGGAGCCGCGCGCAGGCGAGGCGGCCCTCGGTGCAGGCCCAGTGGAGCGGCTGCATGCCCACGTCGTCGGCGCTCGGCGCGCCGGGGTCCGCGCCGCGCGCGAGCGCCCACTCCAAGATGACGGCGTCGCCGCGCTTCGCGGCCCAGTGCGCGAGCGTGTGGCCGCCGTCGTCGCGCGACGCGCAGGCCGCGCGGTCGCCGTGCGCCGCCGCGAGCTCGCCCAGCAGCTCCTCGACGAGGTGGCGCGGCGCGTTCTGCTTCACGGCGGCGAAGAGCGACGCCGCGGACGCCGCGGGCGCCGGCGCGCCGGCGCCGGGGGCCGCGAAGCAGCTCGAGCTCGCCGCGCCGGGGTGGAGCGCCGGGGACGAACCGCCGCCGGGCGGCGGACCCGCCGCCGACACGACCGTGCCCTTGACCGTGTGGTGCGGCGTGGATGCCATGCCGCGACGGCGAGGTTATTGCCGAGGCTTGTTTGATGCTTTTGTTGACTTTTTTTTGTGGTAATTATGGATCTCTACCTCGCCTGCGCGGCGCTCGTCGCCGCCTGGGGCGTGCGGTGGCTGCTGGCGGCGCCGCGGCGCGCGTTGACCGTCGCCGCGCGCCAGGGCCCGGCGCTGCGCGCCGCCAACGCCCTCCTCTGGCTGCCCTGCGCGCTGCGGGACCGCTTCGGCGTCCGCGTGCCGCGCGTGGGCTTCATGCTGGGCCGGCCGCTGTCCCTGGCGGCGCTCATGGCCGCCGCGGAGCGGCGCACGGGCCTCCACGACTGGGGCGCGAGCGCCTCCTTCCCCGCGCTCTTCGGCCTCGCCGTCGACCGGCTCAACGAAGCGAGGCCGTCGCCCGTCGGCCGCCTCGTCGCCTTCGACTACCTCATGCGGCGCCTCGAGGTGCGGCTCCGCGTCGTCGCCGCGGCGCGGAGCCTGCCGCGGCGGCCCGAAATGAGCCGCGCGCCCGTCTTCGTCGTCGGCCTGCCCCGGACGGGCACGACGCTCCTCCACCGGCTCCTCGCGCTCGACGGCCGCTTCCGCTACCCGGAGACCCACGAGCTCCTCGACCCGCTCCCGGCGCCGGGCCGGAGCCGCGCGAAGCGCGTCGCCTACTGGGACGCGAAGCTGTCGCTCATCCGCGCGCTCGCGCGATTCCGGCGCGGCGCGGCGGCCGCGCGCGCGCGCGCCGAGCGGCGCCCCCGAGCGACGACCCGCCCGCCGCGCCGACCGGCCGACGGCGACGCCCGCCCGCCGCGCAGGTGCCGCACGTCGAGGCGATCCACGAGCTCGGCGCCGAGGAGGCGGAGGAGTGCCTCCTCGCGCTCTCCGTGGAGGTGCCCCTGCTGCCGCCGACGTTCCGCCACCTCGTGCGCCACTGCGTCGCCGGCGCCGGCGCGGACTTCCCGGACCTGCGCGCGGCCTACGCGCTCTACCGGACGCAGCTCGAGCTCCTCGCCGCGGCCAAGGACGGCGACGCGGACCGGACCTGGGTCCTCAAGTGCCCGGCGCACGTGCCCTTCCTCGGGGACCTGCTCGCGGAGTTCCCGGACGCGCGCGTCGTCTGGGCGCACCGTCTCCGGCCGCGCGGCGCTCGGAGCTTCGGCGCGACTTCGACGCGCGTCCGTCCGGCGGCGCGCGTCCTCTCGCGCGCTCGCCGCGGAGCACTCGCGGAGAGCGTCGTCCGTACCGCGTCGACGTCGACGCGATCGAGCGCGAGACGTCCGAAGTCCGACGTCCCCGCTCGACGGCCGACGCCCGCGCAGGCGACCCCAAGTGTAGCCTGCCGTCGCTCGGGTCCATGTTCCGCACCTTCGCCGACATGTGCGACGCCGGCGACGTCGACCTCGGCGCCATCGGCGCCGAGCAGCTCGCGTTCTGGTCCGCGGCCGTCGCGAGCGCCGAGGCCGCGCTCGCCGCGAGCCCGGCGACGCGCGTCGCGCACGTGGCCTACGACGACCTCGTCGGCGACCCGGCGGCGGCCCTCGCGCGCGTCTACGGCGACCTCGGCCTCGACGCGCCGCCGGACCTCGCGGAGGCCGTCGCCGCGGACCTCGCCGCGCGGCGGCCGCGCCGCGCGGCCGCGGCGAAGCGGCTCCGCGCGTACCACGCCTACTCCCTCGCCGAGTACGGCGTCGCCGAGGCCGACGTCGACGGGGCCTTCGCCGCCTACTACGCCGCCCACCTCCCCGGCGCGCGGGCCTGAGAGTCCTAGACATTTTACGACGGCAGACGACGTTGTCGCGGCCTCGCGGGCTGTCTTCAACGCTCTGAAGTGAAGATCTTGCGTGTGGAAATTGGCAAACGCGGCTGTTCTCACCCTCGCCCACGACTTCCTCGCGAGCAGTACCGGCTACTAACATGTGCGAGCCCGCGTCTAACCCCGGGGCACGATCTCTTGTCGGTCGGGGGCGAATGTCGGGGGGCGAATCTGAGAGCCGGAGCGTCGTAAGATCGGCGAGCCCGGAATTAAGATCCCCGGCGCGCGACGCCCCCCCGCCAGCCCCGGGAGCGCGACGCGG